GCAAAAGATAGTTCGAATAATAAAAGTATTATTTAAAAATATACTTTTTATCATGATATGAGGTTAAATGAGTTAAACATTTGTAATTACAGATTCATACTTGTAAAGATATGTTAAAGAAATCTGAAATATTTCCGGATTGCGCTTATATATTTAGACAAATTGCGAGCAGGCTTCTTTTGCATTAATTTATGTGGCTATTAAGAAGTCAGTATGTATATATTATACGTACAACAGGTAAATAGTTGTATGATAAGAAGCTCGTGCAGGATATACATTCCCCGAGTGAACCTACACCACTAACAAGTAAACGCGTAGTACGAGTCAAGGCTACGTTGTTCTAGAAATCCGGCGTCTTTATTATCTCTCTCTCTCTCTCTCTCTCTCTCTCTTTCTCTCTCCCTCGCTATCTTTCAATTTGCTATTGTACAGTCTAGGTAGTGTGTTATGCTCACATTTATGTTTTATGTTATTATTATATTTGAAGATATGAAAAAAAAATTCAAAATTTATATACGAATAGTTAAAAAGTATTATTAATAATATAATATTGCACATTGAAAAATTTGATTATAAAATACTTATAATATAAATTATATTAAATATTTTCAATATATATATATACTTAAGACTATATATATATATATATATATATATATATATATATATATTCTGAAAAGCTATTCAGTTAAAAAAATTAAAGATTAAATTATTAATTCATGCATACGTGAATTAAATTAAATATTGGTAACTAATTTTTTCTGAAAATTAATAAAATTTATATTTTGTTCTTATGGAAGTTATTTATGAAATAATTTTTAATTTATTTTATCCATTTTATAAATGTGTAATAATATTAACTTCATCATTAGGTGATTTAATTTTAATTTATCATTTATTTCATTCATAAATATATTTCCAATTCACTTTAATATTCAATTTATTCATATATTAATTGAGATTTATTAATGTTTAAAAATGTTTATGTGTTTGTTTGTTTGTTTGTTTTTTTTTTGTAAATTATTATTTGTAAATTAAATTATTCAAATTCATTATGATGTTATATCTGTTAAGTAATTGTTATTTAAATAATGAATTTATCTTACTGAATCAATTAGCAAGTAATTAAGGTTAAATGTAATATATTAACACACAGTTAATATGCTTTTTCCAAATATAATAACAAATATATTTAACAAATTGTAATTCTGATCTTGTAATGATAAAATTGATTATTTAATTTAAATTAAAATTATAAAGAAATTTTTTTTACAATTCTAATAAAAAAAATATAATCTTTTGAAAGTGGTTATTTTTTTCTTCAAATTATATTGGTTTTGTTAGAAACATTAATAATGTAATTAATTATGTTATGAATTAAAACTTTATAATAATATGTGATTGCAATTTTATTTTACTACTACAATTGAAATTAATAAGAGTAAAGTTAAACTGCAATAACAATACTATAAAAATTTTACATTAAAAAAAAAAAAAAATGTTATGTGAATTTATGTGTGCGCATACGTTTTTTGTGTGTTCATATTTCATTAAAAAATACCCTTTTCATTCATATTCGACTAAAGTTCCAATAGCATCTTCTTTCACATCAATGCAAATTTACTTTTTATTATTTTTATTTATCAGTATAATTTATACACCTTTCTCTTTTTACTTTATGGAATCACCGGGGATTACCGTTACAGTTCACCTTGCATCAAAGTCCTACAATACTTACAAACATGCATACATTTAGCATTGATTAAAGAAGTTGAAAGAAGGGAAAAAAGAAGCAATGAGATATATACGATTGAGTAAACTCACGGTTACTTAAGAAATTCTAATATGGCAAAAGAGAAGCTATTAAGTACTAATGGCTACATACTACCTCTCATATAATTTCTAATAGCAATTTCTTTACAATTATTAAAGCATTTAATAACTTTGTTAGTGATATCTAAAAGAGTAAAATAAAGAGACACAATATTAAATGAGTTTCATATATTTTTCAAACACGTTACTTTGCATACACTTTATTACTGTAAAAATGAAATGAAATGAAAATATTTGTGATTTGTAATCTGGTATATAAAAAAATGTTGCATCTCATTGATTAAATTGTAAATTAAATGTAATATACTTAAATAAACATATATCTTTTAATATATTAAATACATATTAATTGCTAAATATTTTAATTAATAAGAAGAACAGTAAAGTAATTTATTTTAGTTTATTTAAAAAATAGTCAAAGAGATTCGCAAAGTAAATTACATTATGATTTTGTATTTATATCGTGTATTTATTTTCAAAAAGTGTTATATTGTTATATAAATTTTGTTTGTATCGAGCAGCTTATATTATAAATTGTGAAAAAATTTATTAGCAAAATAATCCTTAATATATACAATAGGATCCAACAAACATTATATAAAAGTATATAATTCTAATTCATATAAATTATGTTACACATATTTTAGTTGTTAATTTGGTAAAAGTAAAGTAAATATTATTGAATACAGAATTGAATATATAGCCATATTGTAAATATTGCTCGTACAGATGTGAAATATTTAAGTTTAGATAATATACTCTTCAGTTTCGTGTCAATCTTTACAGATCATACGTAATTGAGCTATCAATCATGTATTTAGAGATTATCAGACGATATTTTCAATTTACTAAACGTCCATTTTTAGTTGAATTTGTTGTGCATGTGATAGAATAAAATCATGCATTTAAATAATGTCCGTATTCAGTGATACATGTATAGTATTTGGAGCCATTTTCGGTGTTATCAGTGTATATCTAACACCATATCGAATTGGAAGTGTATCAACTCATAATAAAAGAAAAAGTAATGGATTCATAAATTTTATTAATAAACATATATTTCACTTATGACGACAGCGATTATTCAAGCAAAATATAGCGCATACGAGCGTATACATAATATTTCGCTCTGTACTATCACTATAATATATGAACAATATCGTGTAAAATTTTATCACTCGAGTTTCATAATCTAAGCAATCTTCAATATGATGAGAATCAAAAAAAAAAAAAAAAAAAAAAAAAAAAAAAAAAAAAAAAAAAAACAATAGGCTAAGCAGAAAATATTGATTAATGTGAAAGGCATAAAATATAGTTATTAATATATTACGTATTAAATATTGTCTCTTTATTTCCGTCTTCTAAAATGTCTTAATTTATAAATGATATAATATCTGATTAGTATTAAAATGACGAAAGCATTTGATAAGAAACTTTTAAAATAAATTAAAAAAATTATTATAACGTATAGTATTACAACTATGTTTCAGAATGTAATAATAAAAACAGATCAACAATTATTGTTCCCGAACAATCTCGTAAATTTGTGAATAATGAATCGGCCACAAAATTTTACGGAGATACTACTTTGAATGATGTTTTAGGTATGATCAAAATGGAAATTTCAAAACTTTTGAAGGCAGATAAGTGGACAATTATTCTTCCAAAAGAAAAAATTTCAGAAGCACTACCTGATTTTTGTGATGCTAGAAATCAATTTACGACAATCAACAGTAATGTAATAATTCATCATCCCGAACATTTGCTTATTACAGTTTAGTTTATTAATTCACACTTTCTTTTTCTCAGACTTCATTCGAATCATTGGAATTTAATGGTATTCAAGACGACTGTACAGAGTATAAAGATATTCCTGATATATTTTTGTCGGCATCCAAGTGCAAGAAAAAGAGGAAGAAAAAGAAACGACGAAAATTTTACAAAGGTAATAATATTCACACAATCTTATGAATAACTGCTGAATGTATTAATGAAATTTTTTATATCTGCACATCGTTGTAGTGTGTTTGTTATCTCAATAGATTATAACACAATTTTAAACGATAATTATTATTGTTAAATATATACTGCTGTTAATGTAGTGAATTATATTAATGTACAATAAATAAAGATAAATAAATGATAAATTATTGAAAATTTTGAAGTTAAGGTAAGGTAAGAACGCTAAGGTAAAAAAATATTATTTATACTTTATATTTTTAATTATTGCAGGGATTAGCTGTTTAGGCGTCCCCAAGGATGATAAATATTTAATAAATCTTCCAAGGCAGTCGACGCTTATTAATTCGAAAAGTAAAAAAAATTCAAAATGTGTTATATTAGGTGAAGATACCTTAAATGAATTGGAAACCTTTGCAGCTGATTCTGGATATAGTGTCATAACAATTCAAAATGATAATATTGAATTTAGCTTTAAAAAGTCTAAGAGTCCCATAAATCGACTATTTCATGAAGTGAAAAGATTTTTAGGATTGAAAAAAAAAAATAATAAAGAGAATAATAATTTTTCGACATAATTTCGGTGTTATAACAAATGGAAATAATAATATTACAATGTTACAATTCACTCATTGCCGTTTCTATTTTACTTCAAAATTGCAGATTGCAAGTGCAGATGCAAATTTATAGATCCATAGAAATGTATTTATAGAAATGCTTAATTTATATTTATAAAATATTGCTTTTATGAATGAAATCTCGTATTTATATTTTATCATATCTTCATTATCAATTTTACAATTTCTAAAATTGAAAATATTCTTATTTTCTAAATTTTCGAGTAAGAAAAAATGGCTTCACCGTTGTATTTGTTTACTTGACGCACCATGGCATGTTCGATAAAATAATTTGCAATCTTAATTAGTTTAAAATTCTATACTAGTTACGAATATTAATGACATTTTTTTTTTTATAATTTAAGAGGTTTACCCAAATTATTTACTATTTAGTTTATATTTATATTTTTATATTGTTCTTTAATGAAAATAGCATAGTTTTATCATTTTCATAATCCATGTACGAACAAGATTTTTCATTATTTCCAAATATATTATAATATATATCGTATAACAATTATTGTAATATATAAACAATAAATTGATAATATAATTAAACAAAGTTCAGAATTTATATGTGACATATACCATTCAAAATAATCGGTAATAGTTGTAATAAGTAATTTTGCATACGTATAAACTTTTATTGCAATATTTTCGTAAAATAAATTTAATCGAAATATATATATATATACATACAATATTAAGCCATTAATGTAAATTGAAACAATAAGTTCATTCTCTAAACATTATTCTGTAAAATTAAATTTTTTATTTAAAGCAAATGTAAAAATACATGTAATTTTATAATAAAAACCAATTAAGGAACTGAAAAAATTCGATGTTCTATAATTAAAAATAATATATTATGTTATTTATTAAATTAAGAAAAATTGAAATTCTACTGCAATTGCGAATATTTTAAAAGTTCGAAGAGTCTAAGTTAATAATAAATATTTTCACTTATATATATATATATATATGCATACATGAATATCTGAATATTATGGTCAATTAATGAAATATTTTAATTTTCATGAAATTTTAACTAACATCAAACATTGTAAATTTTATGGATCATATATTTGTAATTATTGTGAATAATGTCTGATTTTCATTGTCATTGCAAATGATATTAAACATTAATTCCTTTCTTCGGATAAACCTAATCGAATCAATACCTTTTCAGTATAAAATAGCAATAATTAATTTCATTCTAACCTATATTAATAAAACGTATGCTTATAAGCCTGAACTTGTAAAAAGGAATTTTTCATTAAAATATTAACCCAGATTATAAAGATGATAAATTACAAGAGAGATATTAATTTGTTATTAGACATATTGCTGCTTAGCCGGTATAAGTTGTTATCTATAATTGAAGAAATTCAAATTATACTCTTACATTTTATAAATATGAAAAGATAGCTTGAGTAGTCGTTTATGTAAATTTTAGTAGATACTAAGTGTTGTATAAATATAGATTTTATTATTACTATATTACCATACGATTATATCGATTCAATGTTTAATCGAATAATTTAACCTTCATACGCGTGATACAGTTGCCTATATCAATGAAGGTTAATTCCGTACATATAACAAGCTTAGATATATGGACCACATGAAATAAATCTGAAGTGCTTAATTAATCATAAATATATATATATATATATATATATTTCGAATAAAATTTTCTTCTAATTAAAGTATGTATTTTAATGGGCGCCGTGAAATGTTTGTATTTACAAAATGAAGTAAAAAATAAGTTATAGAAGGCATATTGAATTATAAATAAATAATGTCATTATAATTTGCATGTTATTGTATCAGTTCTGTCGGTTTTGTTTCATATACGTCCGTTGGTAAATAAATCCGTTATTGTTATGTATGGATATATGAAATAATTACAGATAAGTGAAACATTATAGTATTATACAATTTATGATAATCTGAGAATGCAACAAGAACTTAAATTTTACATTACAGCCTTCTTAATATTAATTAAACAATTTTCTTTAATCCAAAATTAAAAGCGACAACAAATTCTGCTCAACTCATATAAACAGTTGAGTATGTATGTATACGTTTAGTAGAGAATCGAAGTTCTTTATTTCTAGTACTTTTTGAATTTGAAAATTTGAAATTTTTTTCATAAATTTTAATCAATAAAAAATCAAAAACCCGTTTTCCTCTCGTAATAATTAATAATATAGGCTACTATTATAATATTATAATAGTAACTATAATGACTATTATTATAATTTATATATATTTTGAATATTTTCACGATACGCGGAACAGCATCTTTCGAACCCCACAAACATCCTATTTTATTACACGATAATTCATTGGCATCGGTCTGTAAGAATTAAAGTTGGCCATATCATAGATAATAAAATTATTATTTAACCATAATTAAGATAAAAGGATTTGATAATTCGTATAATTCATGTTATTTAAGAAGTGAATGCCATTAGAATGGTCATGAGTAAATTATAAAATTTAATTATAAAAACAAAGTAATTGCGCTTGATACAATAAGGCCTGGGAAGGAAGAATAGAAATTATAATATTGTCAATGACTAGAACTATTGTATTTTTATAAGATTGCTTTTTCGTATGCATGGCCTCAGTCAGATTCGGTCGGAAGGAACTTTTACAGGCTACCGTTGCCAACAAGGTCGCGGTACTTGCCGCATGTCCATGTGATCGAAATCATATAAGTTTCTTCTTACCATTCCTGTGATTGACGCATCAAGGACAGTGTAAGCAGAGGTCTGAGTAATAGGACGGTTTTCAAGGGTACGCTAACGTTGGTAGCTACGCAAGAAAAGATATTGCGGAAATTAGTCTGTAGCTTATATGAAGCATTCGTGATATTCTTGTCGTACTTTTGTACGATGAAAGTTTAGGGACTTATTTCGTAACATGTGAAAACTCTAATTTCATCGGTTGTATTGCATATATATATATATTTTCGATATCATTTAATTTTCACTATTCTCATTCCTAAATTCTGGCTGAATTGAGTGGTAAATAAGGTTTCATATTAATTAGATAAAATCTAATATTTCACAAAAATAAAAATTCTTAAATGAGATCATCAACTTAAAATAATTAACCTTCTATATTAATATTTATAAACATTATATAAGAAGTGATAAATTTTATATACCTCTTGAATATTGCATTTTTAGTAACATTCGTCTATATAGAAATTAAAATTTCATCTCAATTTTAAACGATATTTGAAATGCATCTTTATAACAATTATTATACGACATATATATATATATATATATATATATATATTGAATATGCTTGTTATTGTATATAAGATAACATTAATGCAATTAATATTAATAACCAGTGTATATAACAATAAATTTCGTTTTATTTAATATATTTAATAAAATGTTTCTAAAGGCTTCTATGCTAATTATTGAAATTGAGAAAAATATATAGTATTTTCTTAAATTCTGTTGTAAAGTGTTTTTTTTTTTTTATCATAAATTAATAAACAATTGCTAATTATTAAGCATCAGCTTTATTGAAACGACATTATAATCATAATATAAATATATATAAATGATCATTTATTGGATAATTAACACAATAGATTAAAAAGTTCATTGTATCATTTAATAAAGGAAATGCTTAGTGTCATATTTTACACCAATTTTATTAATGTTTTTAAATAATATTTTATAAATTTCTATCACAATAATGTCAAAGTCTTATTATATATCATTTCTACATAAAATATTCTTATTAATTGAACTAGTTTGTTGAAATTTTTATTACTATGCCTATATGAAAATGTCGCATAAATTATAATAATACAATATAATAGCTTTTATGTGGAAATAAATCGATGGCTTTAAAAAAAGGGATGTAAATGAAAATAATAGAAGAACGATTAAATATTGAATGAAAATTTTGTATATAATCGTTTAGTGTAATTAACATTTTCTAACAATAAATATCCAATGCTAGAAGTAACAAACATTTGACGATTTTAAACGTATTTAGTAATCAAATATAATTTTTGATTAAGCTCATTTCATCTTATATCCAAGTCATTAACAAACACGTGAATAAACAGTAAACTTATTACTTTGATATAAGAATAACTAAATATAAGTATTGAGAATTTATGTATCTACAGAAATGTCAATTAATATTCACCCTACATTTTCGTTTCGTATTAATGTAAGTTTAAATAATTTGGAATAAAGTATGCTTTCATTTAAATTTCTATAATAGATTGTTTATTCATAATTAATATTGGTATTTTATTCTTCTAACCTTAGACTAAGTGAAAAAAGAAAATATTAAAATAATAAAATAAAATAAAATCAGATAAAAGTCATTTTTTTATTTTTAATGGTTGAATGATTTCAAAATAAATATTTGCTCAACATAAGAAAGACTTGAAAGAGTAAAAACTGGCACGAAGAATTTATTCTATTTATTTATTATATCATCTAACCTCTCAATTAGATAACAATATGATACGAAATATTACTTGTATACGAGTGTTTTTACCGATTGATTTAAGTGAACATGCAAAAACATCGTGAATCGTTAAAGCAAAATTTATATGTTCTATGTAAAGGTTTCGGCGAGTTAATTAAATATTAATGAAATTTAATAGATTATATTTTTATTAAAAACTATACTAATTTACAGTTTAAAATAATTACTTCATAACTTAAAAATTGCTGATTTATTTAATGTTATATTTATAACTTTGAGGATATGTCATTTGTCAAGGCCAATGCATTAGTATCCACTAGACTATCTTTTCGTATATTGACCGCTCAGTTCGTTATCAAATACATTCATTAATCATTATTTGCAGCAGATTATTTTCAAATTGAATGGAGTTTAATATTTTTTTAGTATGACATTCATATTATTACATGTATTAAGTATGTGATTTTTAACTCCATACA